CGTGCTGAAAATAACCTACTGAAAGGGACCGCTGCGCTGCGGTGGTGCACCGCGCCGCCCCGCCCCTGCCCCGCGCTGCCCCGCCCGGCGTGTCTCGTAAGAGAGATATGGTAATGGCATTTTACCTGGTGGTGCGAAACTGTACCGCATCAGGCAGGGCAGCGCAGGCGCCAGGCCTCCGCCGAATCCTTTCTCCAGCGCGGCAGCGCGGCGGCAGGTGAGTAGGAAGGAGATGACAGAGAGAAAAGGGGGGGGAGGGGGGCGAGCGCGGGAAAAGTGTAATTGCACCGTAAAGGCGGCGGTGGCGGCGGCTGGGAGAGGCGGCGCGGCGTCTCAGGTTAATAGAAAAGAACCGTACGGGAAATATTGGCGTTGATGATCGCTCGGCGTGAATAGAGTTTCTCTTCTCCTCTCTCTCTCTCTCTCGCTCTCATCGCGCGCTTCATGATGTGCAATTGCGCGTCTCACTCATCGCGCGGCGGTGGTTTTGCAGATTATTCGCTCCTTTGGCACCGCTTTGCCGCGAGAGGCGCTGAAAGGAGCCCGCCACACTTGTCGCGGCTCCGGGATACTTCCAGGATACTCCAGGACCTGCTCGAGTCAAACAAGGCTAGGAGCGGCCGCCGCGCGGCCCCGGCCGGCAGCAGGCCGCGCGAAATGAATTGCTAATCACCCCTTGAATAGACGTGCGTGGCGGGGCAGGGCGGGGCGGGGCGGCGGCAGCGGCGTACACGGCCGCGTTCTGGTTTCCCGGTAGCCGCGTGAAAATAGCATGTGTGATCCGGGCGGCGGCGCTCCACTCCGTCCCACCGGCCCCGCTCCACTACCGCTGCTGCCGCCGCCGCTGCTGACGCTTCCGCAGCCGTTATAGACTGGAGGGCAGTGGGGCTCTCGAAAGGCTTAAACTGCGTGAGTGTATGAGAGAGAGAGAGAGAGAGACCGTGTATGTGTGCGTGAGCGCGCGCGCGTAACTTGCTTGTGTTGTTCATGGACAACGCCTACCGAATAGGCCGCACTGTAATCTGCTATTGTCCCTGTCGCCTCCGCCCCCTCCCCCTCTTCTTTCCTCCTTCCCCTCCTCCTTCCTCCTCCTCCTCTCTCTCTTTCTCTGTCGCACGCGCGCGGTGTGCGCCAG